CTCACCCTAAAAAACGCCAATATGACCCAACATCTCCAGCTAAATGGCAACTTATACGAACATATTTCAAGCCACCAAAGGAACTAGTTTCCTTTACAGGTCGTATGCTCATGAATTGTTGTTTGGTCGGACATGCTTTAAACCTGACCTTTTTCAGATAGTGATACATGTTACAAAAATATTTGTTTTCTGGTGCTTATTTTTATTATTGTATGGATAACTAGCTATTTATTTGCAGGATCACTATGTGATTGAGATGTTCTGGGAAGTTGTCCAGAACCTTAGCTTGGCAAATCAGAGAAAACTCTTGAAGTATGGGTTGCCTTCTATTATCTGTATCCATTTGTCATATAATATTTCTGATTTTACAATAGTTGTATTAGTTGCAGAAGCTACAGTTGTTTTAATGTATTGCATGTGATCCTAATTTTAAATTTACAGATTTTGCAACAGTTGTATATGCTCCACAAGCTACAGATGCCATTTTACTATATTGCATGTATAATAAGATCATACAATGAAGCAATTGCAATTAACACCCTAATAATGGTAATCCTAGTAACGGGTGAATAAGTATCAAAGAAGTCATCTCTTTTTTTTGTCTATAGCCTTTGGCTATGAATCTTGCTTTAAGCTTATAGGTTTAAGTTTTTTCTTGAACAACCATTTACACCCAGTTGTCTTACAAGTATTATTAGACATAATCGAGTCATATTCACTATTTACAGCATTCTTTCAAAATATAGAATCTGGTGAAGACATGGCTTTACCAAAAGTACTAGGATCATCCTCTACGTTAGAAAGTTAGGACCGAAGGAAGTAGTGGTCCTAGGTCTTTTGCTTCCTAATTTCAGTTTCTTCTAATTCAGTAGGCTCCTCTCTAACATTAGGAGGGACACTAAAAGAACTACTTGGTCCTTTAGACTTTTTCAGTTTCTTCTAATTCAGTTTCATATATGTTTCTGGTCTTAGGTTTGTAACTGGCTGCTCTCGAGGACCTTTGCTTGGATTTAAGTATCTGGAGCCTTTGTTCTGTATACAAAGGTAACAATGCTGCTGGTTATGCTTGCTGAACAACATATGTCATACAGTTAGGTCTCAGTTTCGTTGGATTTTCTTTTTCCTTATCTGATAGGGCTGCTGGTAGCGCCTCTGAAGAAGCCCTTGACCGCTTGCCGACATCAGCTACTTGCATGAATCTATTGAAGCTTCCTCCTTACCGAAGGTCTGTCCAAGTTTAGTTACCCTTTTACAGAGTTCTGCATCTCTAGTTTTAGGATTTCTTTACCCTAAATATTTGATGAATGAGTAACATTTGGATTACGGGGGTCGTCTCATTGATCTGTCACATATACTCCAGATCTTCATTTTGCTTGGCAAATTAATGTTCATTTGGATTCTGCTTCATTGCATGTGCTTGCACATTTACTTTATTATAATTCTTTCAGATGGATTTCCATTTCATATTCTCTCTTCCGTCATTACAGAGAATTTCTGCTATTGCAGATTGATGTTCAGTTTATATTCTGTGCTAGCTCTTTCATATTGCTAACATTGTTTTTGCTATTGTTTTTACAGTAAACAGCAAATGGAACAAAAGTTATTGTATGCCATAAATGCTGACGCTGGTTTTGATTTGAGTTGATGGAGGTTGATATTTCCTTTCCTGCAAGAGATTAATCTCCGGATTACAGAAAGTAAGTCAACTACTAGCGTCACTAGGCTTGATGCTTTGGGTCCATGTATCATCGAGCACGTTTAGTGGTTTTTGGTGTTGGTGGGGGGGGGGGGGGGGNNNNTGTGGGGGGGGGGGGGGGGGGGGGGGGGGGGGTTGATGGCAAGATTGAGGATTCCGTGTAGATAATATCACAAACTGCTTGCTGGAGGAGATGTATATAAGATGGGTGGGCATCTTTAATATAAATCATCTTTCCATAGGTATACAGGAGCAGGACCTGCGCAAGTGGTCTTGTCGGGTTTGTATTTTAGTTGTATCTTGTATCAATTGATTGAACTTTGCGTATGATGTCAACATATATTTTTTTTTTTTTTTAATTTCTCTATTTTACTTTCTTGCTTGACTGTCATCATCTTAGCATTTTGAAAGAGGCAAATTTTCATTTTCTACAAGCTCCATTGCATCGTCTCAAATGTAAATTGGTGAATGATACTTACTGGAGATGAAATATGAATCTATCCACAATCCACGAGTCTGTCATCTACAAATGTTGTCTTCTTCTTCCTCCTCGTCTTAAGATTATTTCTGACTCATTTATGTATGGAGTGATGGACATTAAAATATGTATTTTTATTTAAAATTTTGGGTTTATTACAAAATAATAGTACCCGATGTATGGTATAGTGAAATTTATTGGTCTCTTATTCTAATTCTTAATTAAAAATGGCAACGTACGATGAGCGTGTGCCTTCTTTATTTTATTATTATTTTATTTATTTTATTATTATTTTTGTCCCACTTTTTTGGTTTGTTTTTGTTCATTGCGGCCTTCAATTTTTGTCTCTTTTATTCAAACGGTGTAAATTTGTCTTTTGCCTCGATGTTGATAATGAATTTGGATGGAAACTATTAGGTATGAAATTTGCTAATTAATGAAAGATTGGTGATTTGATTGAGAAAAATTAAAAGTTAAAAATTGCTACTTTAAGCAAATGTTAGAGATGAAATGTGCAATTTAATTAGTACTTATTTAATAATGCTTTTGTTTGTAAAAAGACTGGTTAAAAGAAAAGTTGAGAATTGCTGCTCTGAAATGTACAATTTAACGTGTACTTGTTTGGTAAAGCTTTTGTTTATTAAAATGTTGGTTAAATTTCATTTTATGCAACTCAAAACGTTTATTTCCTTTTCACCACACTTGTAATGAGATGCGTATTACAATTTTTAATGTAACATAGTTATTAATATTTGATAACTGAATTGCCAAATACATTTGGAATATTTGTTTCAAAAAGCTATAAAAAAATAAAAAAATTGGCATTTTTGTGCCTTTTTTTTTTTTTTTTTAAATTTTTTTAACACTACATTTTAAGCCCCTGTTTGTTTATCATTTTTGGAAGAATGAGAATTAAAAATATAGTCGTTACGAGCTTCACGAAAGAGATAAAAATTCAAATTTGGTGACTTGATGTGATGGATAACGGTCATATTTTTCATTTTAATGAGAAAAGAATGGGAACCAAACAGGGGCAAATTGATTTAAAGTCCTCAATCTTAACCCATTGTATTACTTACGGGTCTCCCAACATTTTTGTTTCATTGAATTTCTCATCTTCAACCTTCAGTATTATTAATTGGTTTTGTCAAACTATTCTATTTGCATGCTCTAAAACAAGATAAAATACTTCGTTGCACTTGGCATTTATTGTTTTTATATGGACAAATAAGTTGTATTACGCACTCTCAACGCACTTACTTGATGAAACCATTATTACATATGAGAAGTGTTAACTAATGGAAGGTTGAAGATGATAATGTGTCAAAATAAATTCTGAATATAAATGTTACAATGAGCATTGAAGATCTTAAGTATAATCAAATTGTGATGAAATTAATAAAAATTGTGGTACAAAATAATAAAGATGAAGGAGCCAGGTCGCGGCTTGTTAGCTTTCTCAACATTAACCGAAAAAAAAAAAAAAAAATTCCCCATAAATCCCATTGACAGAAGATTATTTGCCGCCTCCTTAAACTGTAATCAAAAGGTGTACATACACATACACGTATTCGTATTCAAGCATATATAGCTTCTAAGTTATTTATTTCGTGTTTCTTTCGATATTTTATATTTACTTGTGCACTTAAATGAAGCTGGAAAAGTGGAAATGATATAATTCCATATAAATATGATACAACTTATTTTGGCACAGGCCCAGACTCAATCCAATCTCTCTCTCTCTCTCTCTCTCTCTCTCTCTCTCTCTCTCTGTTAAGTATTGGGTTTTTCGTTTATTTATAATCCAACCCATACACTAATTTACCCCAACTCCAAGTGCATAGTGACATTTTTTGACTCTTTCTCCTCAGCAAGAAATTAAAAATTTTCTTTCAATCTGCACTCGTTTTGAAATATTTTCAAAGTTAATTTCTTTTTTAAAAACCACATTTTCTTGGGCCCTCAAATTTGCTAGCAAAAACTTTTTTGATTATGTGATTTTTCTATTTAACATTGGAGATTTTTCTGTGTAATATTAGGGATTTTGATTATGTGAATGTTGAATATTGGCACCAAATTTGGAAAATTTAGTAGTTATTTTCTTATCAATTAATATTTAATTGTCACTTGTAATTTATTTTAGTGTGAAGTGTTAATGGAGAGATTCTTTAAAAGAAAATATTTTGTGGAAAATGAAAAATATTTGTGAGGAGATAAAACAGCTCCCACGAGGTTTGAAAGGCCTATGAGTTTTCTAATAGTTGGCCTTTGGAATTTCTCAAAAATATTATCTAAAGAAAAAGTTATGCCCGTTTTAGTAAATTATGTCGTGTTGAATTCGAGTTTTCTGTCTAGCATATTCGAGCAATATTTTTGTGCTTAAAACGTTATCGTCGAGACCCCAAATTTTTATATGTGGTACATATATGAATGCTTTAGTCCATGTAAAAATTTCATAATTTTTAATAGACATTTGCTAGGCTAAATATATTTTTCTTCCGATGTTGATTAATCGGTAGTTGCTGAATTGCCACAAATGTTTTCCAAAACCAAATTTTGCCATAATTACCTGAGTTTACATGAATAACTATCTCCCATTATATTTTTATATGCTTCAAAAACCAAAAACTTTCTGATTTATAAAATACTTCGGCTAACATCAAAGGGATCGAACTAAAGAAAGAAATGATTATCTTTAACGCTTCGGGTTCCGAGAATTCAGGGCGTTACAACTTGGTATCAGCTTAGAGCAAGCCATTGGTGGAAATCCTCATCACGTACTCACACCGAGGAGGAACAACGTAATTTGACTTGGGCCAGTTCAAAATGGAGCTAGCAGAAAAGTTTTTCCCACAAGCTCTACGAGACTATAAGAATGCAGAATTCTTAAGACTGGTACAGGGAGATATGAAAATTTTTGAGTATGAGAGCAAGTTCGAGAAATTATCTCGATATGCCCCACATCTTGTAAGTATTGAGCTCATGAAAGCAAAATGTTACGAGAGGGGCCTGTGCCCAGAGATCAAGCAGATTGTGATTTCACACTATCTCACCACTTTTCAAGAATTGTGAAGAAAGCTCAAATAATAACCTATTCCAGGGTGAAGTTGGTAAATCAGGGGCAACGTAATGACTTTGGAAAAAAAAAAGGGTGGCAAAATAAGAATAAGAATTCTGGACAATTTAAGAAGCAGACACTTGTGGGCCAGTCAAGTAATCCTCCATCCCAATGTTCTAAGTGTAACAAGCTTTACAAAGGGAAATGTCTGTATGGAAGGTATGCTTGCTATAAGTGTGGCCAACCTGGCCATGTGGTTTCATCATGTCCATCGATTAAGAAACTCGAACAAGAGAAGAAAGGAAAAGTAAGGGTGTTTGCTTTGACTCATGACGAGGCTGCCCAAAATTCGGACATAATCGCAGGTATTTTATTCGTCTCTGGTACTCCAGTTTACGTCCTTATTGATTCCGGTGCAACACATTCGTTCATATCTAATGCATGTCTAGCTAGGATTAATGCTTCATGTAAGAAGAATGATAGTGTACTAGAGGTTAGTATGCCATCAGGGTTAAATATTGATACAGATAAGATAGCAATGGGAGTACAGATAAATTTTGATGGATTGACTTTAGTGGTCGACTTGTATGTTATAGAGATGAAAGACTTTGATATTATTTTAGGCATGGATTGGTTAGGTGAAAATCGAACCACAATAGTATGCTTTGAGAAAGAGGTAATCTTTCAAAGATTGGAAGAAGAGGAATTCAGATTTTATGGATCGAAGGTTAAGACACTTCCTCGTGTCATCTCAGCTTTGAGGGCAAAAAGCATGTTGAGGAAGCCTGATTGCCAGGAGTATCTTGTCAGTCTTATCAGCACCTCATCTCAAGAGAAAATATTAGATGATGTGCCAATAATATAGGAGTATGCCAATGTGTTTCCAGATAATCTACCGGGTGTTCTGCCCAATAGACAAGTGAAATTCACGATAGATCTAGTACCTGAAGCTACTCCTGTGTTCAAAGCTCCATATCAAATGGCACCAAAGGAATTATAAGAGTTGAAGATGTAGCTAGAAGAACTTCTAGACAAAGGGTTTATTAGACCGAGTATATCTCTATGGGGAGCTCCGATATGGCGATGCCATTTGGCTTGACGAATGCCTCTGCAATGTTTATGGACTTGATGAATAGAGTGTTCCACCAGTATTTGGACATGTTTGTCATCGTATTTATTGACGATATACTAATATACTCGAAAGATTCTCAACAACACGAAGAACATTTGAGGATAGTTTTGGAAACCCTGCGTGAGGAGAAGTTGTATGCTAAACTCAAGAAATGTGAATTTTGGTTGGACCGAGTAGGATTTGGTTTTGGAAAATATTTGGAGGCAATTCAGCAATTACGGATCAATCAACAACGAAAGGAAAATATATTTGGCCTAACAAAAATCTATTAAAAATTATGAAATTTTTATAGGGACTAAAGCATTCATATATGTATCACATATAAAAATTTGGGGTCTCGACGATAGCGATTGAAGCACGAAAATATTGCTCGAATATACTGGATAGAAAACTCGAATTCGACACAACGCAGTTTACTAAAATGGGTATAACTTTTTTTTAGATAATATTTTTGAGAAATTTCAAAGGCCACTACTAGAAAACTCATAGACCTTTCAAACCCCACCAATCAATCAGCTCTGTACAAAAGGCCCATAGTTAATCTCTCAAGGCAAAGTAGGCACAACAATTCTCCATAAATAATCATAAATCGATTCGGTAGTCTCCAGCCACTCTTCTAGCAAGGAATTAATAAGAAGGTGGGTGGCTCGACGACCAGTACCGTATAGCCTAGTTGTCTCACCTCTCTCCACCTTACAAGCATCTCCCAAATGTGCTCACGAATATTGTGCGCTGGATTTCACTAGTATACTTCATATTGTCTCATGATCTCATATCAACGAGGCATCAACGAACTCATCTTCCTACCAATTATTCAAAGTCTAATTAGTGGGTATCTAATAACTTTTACTTAATTCTCGAAGAAGATACCTCCTTCAATGTGCCATTCAAGAAAGCAAATTTAACGTCCAGCTGTTATATTTTCCAACTTATCATGGCTGCAAGTGCAAATTCTTATTGTTTCCAATCTTGCAATTGGAGCAAATGTTTCACAATAGTCAACTCCAATTTTTTATAAATATCTCTTTATTACAAGTCTTGCTTTATGCTTGTGGATTGAGCCATCCGAATTCAATATTGTTCTGTAAACCCATTTTTCTCCAATGACCTGTTTATGAGTTAGTTTATCAGTAAGCTCCCTATTTGATTTTTTTCAATCATTGTTATTTTATCTTGCATAGCATCTCTCCATTCTTGGCTTTCAACTGCTTCTTTATAGCATGTAGGCTCAATCATAGCCACTTTACAATTTTCATAAATTTCAACCAATGATTTCATTTTTTGAACAAGTGATTCGGAAGAAGAATTAGAAGAAATATCACATTCTCAATCTGAAATTTCAGGAAGGGTTTCTTCATTTTCTGCAGCAACTACATCTTGAGCCTCAATAGTAGATTGTTTTTCAACCTTTGCCTCTTCCCAGTCCCAACTAGCATTCTCATCAACCTTCACATCTCTACTTATAACAATTTTCTTCATTTTCTAGGTTAAAGATCCTATAACCTTTTGATTTAGAGTTATATCACAAAAAAATACCTTTTTTTTTTTGCCTTTTCATGTAGCTTATCTCTTTTCACATTAAGAATGTGAAAATAATATATTGAACCAAAGATTTTGATGTGACTTGTTGAATGTTTCGTTCTAGTCCATACTTGAATAGGAGTTTTATCTTGTACGGCCTTAGTTGGAAAACTATTTTGCAAATACACAGAGGTATAGACAGCCTCTGCCCAAAACTTCTTGTGAAGTTTTTATTTATTTATTTATTTTTTAAAATCGTACATCTTGTCATGTCCATTATTAATCTATTTTTCCTCTTTGAAACACCATTTTGTTGAGGTGTACAAGCCACTTTTAGTTGCCCTTCTATCCTTTCATCTTCACAGAGTTTATCGAATTCTTTTGATGTATATACCATTTCTTGATCTGACCTCAACTTTTTTAACTTGCAACCAGTTTGAGTTTCCACTAGATTCTTGAATTTCTTGAAGATGGAGAAAACTTGAGACTTTATACTCATGAAATGCACTCATGTTATTCTTGAGTAATCATCAATAAAAAGAATAAAATATTTGTTTTCACTCAACGAAGGAGTTCTCAGTGGTTCACAAATATCAGTTTGGACTAGTTCCAATTTTTCACTAGCTCTTGCAGCAATTGAAGGAAAAGAAAGTCCGTGTTGTTTTCCCAATTAGCAACATTCACATACTTCTTTACTCAGATTTATAAGAGGTAAATCTCTAACCATTCCTTTTTCATAAGAAAGTTTGAGTGATGACAAGATAAAGTGTTCAAGTCTCTTGTGCCAAAGCAAGTTTCATCAGCATTACTTTTATAAGCATGTGAACTAAGACAAGAAGACCAATTTAGTGGAAAGTTGTGATTTTCCACTTCAACATTAAATAACTCTGCTCCACATGTATGATAAATCTTTCAGCTTTTATTTTTAAACATTAAGCAATATCTATTACCCATCATTTGAGCCACACTTAGAAGATTTTGATCCAAATTTGGTACTAACAAGACATTTGAAATAAGCTTAGTACCTTTACTTGTAAACAATAGTCCTTTTACCTTCAATATTGACATATTGTGCATTTCCCATCTTTACTTTGGTCTTAACTGAAGTGTCCAAAGTAGTGAATAGATTGGCATCAAACGTCATATGATTGGTACACCCACTGTCAATATACAAATCTTTGCTCATTCTTGGTTGTGATTGTTGTGAAGTCATAAATACGTGCTCTGTTCACGAAAATATTCTTTCGGTTTAATACACCGTAAGTGTACGGTTCGCAACAAGTAATAAAGTGGATAAATTGAGTCCGATTGTCGTCCCACGGAGATTGAGTATTTCAATTTTACCTACCGCAACCTTAACCAAAACTAAATTATCCAAAGTGAATTCTAGACATAAAGAAAACCCTAATTATGCGAATGTGATATTTGAATGAACTAAATATGTAAAACGATGTTTTTTAAATGAATTAGAATGTAATTTGATGATTGGAACGCACTTTGATTGTATTCAACGAGAATTAAATGCACTTGGGTCACGAATTCCCTAGCAATGTTCAATTTAAAACTAAGTTCACAATCCGACAATTTGAATGAACTAAATATGCAAAACGGTATTTTTTAAATGAATTAGAATGCAATTTGATGGTTGGAATGCACTTTGATTGTATTCAATGAGAATTAAACGCACTATGGTCACGAATTCCCTAGCGATGTTCAATTTAACCCTAAGTTCACAATTCGACAACACGATGGAATTTTGAAAAATCAATGCTCCTAAATCTATCCAACACCCTCTCTCGAGCAGCACTGAACCTAGTCTAATACACCACCAACCTATATCTCTATGACGGATGCAAATGTATAAAAACGCATGTGGCTTGGTGAACACTTGAAGATTTACGTAGGGTATAGCGGTATATCTCTATCCCCTATTAGATTCTACGATGATTTATACCATGTTGAACCTATTCTACTTCTCTCGAATGCAAGAACAAGTCATCAAACTCACACAAATTATGTACACAATAATTGTGGAGAAAATAAGTGTATATAAACCATTCAAAATAATCTATACATGTTATAATGTCAAAATCATGAATCAAAGAATTAAATATCACATCGCAAGGTTTATTGATCCCCTACTACAAAAATATTTAGCCTAACATGGAGAAAATAACAGAATACATGTTAAATTGAAGAACAAACATCACCGGGTTATGAATTCGTGGGAAATCTCGATGATCTTCGTGAAATTTTTTGTTACATTGGATCAAAATCCTCTCCAAGATGTGTTTTCTTGCTTCCCAATGTCTTCCCCCTCAAAATATGACGGCTCTAGATTTTTATATCGCGCCCCAATCGAGTTCCAAAAGAGTTATATCGAAAATAGGAAACTGCAGGATTCGGCCCCGAATTTGGTCTATACGACCACATTGATGAAATATTTTTGGCCTTTGAATTCTCTGACCCCATGCATGCAACCGCATGGGAGTTACTACTATGCGAAATAGTAGTAAACTTCCAAGAATTATCATTTTGGTCTTCATACTTTGTTCTCTTCAATTGACCTCTTTTCTTTATTCTTTTCACTCCATATATAAATAATGGCCTCCAATTAGTACGTAGCTCAATAAATTGCTCGACTTCCTTTTCGGTTCATCTTTTGGGTAATTGAGCTTTGATCCCGGACCTTTCACTTTGCTTCGTTTTAGCCCGTTTTCGAATCTTTTCTCGTGGATTCCAAAATGTCTATCAATATAGCCTACGATACACAAATCAAACAAAACTAAGCCACAATTCTAACACTTTGCTCTTAATTAAGTTATGTTTGTGAACTAAATAAGTGTGTAAAAACGCACTTATTATGTTCTTCTTCTTGCTTGTTGTTCGCGAAATTATTTCCTTCGATTTTAAACTACCGCAAGTGTACGGTTCGTTAACAAGTAATAAAGTGGATTAAGTCCGAATATCGTCCCACAGAGATTGATTAGTTCAATTTCATTTATCGTCGCCTTAACCGAAATAATAGAAATTTTTGATATTTTTGCTAACTAAATTATGATTTAATAACATACTTATAAATGTAAAGCCTAAATTAACTAAATTAAATGCGTGATTATAACTAAATGCAAGTTTTATAAAAATATGATAATGAAATGCGTACTAGGATCCCGAATCCCCTTATATCAATCCTCTTTAATCCGAATTTTATAAAATTGACAACACGATTCAATTATGAAGACCAATATTCCTAATTTATTTAACAATCTCTCTCGAGTAGAATTAAACCTATTTTCACATGCGATCCGACTATATTTCTATGACGGATGCGAACATATAAAAATGCATTAAAGATTTATGAATATTTAAAGATCACATAAAGTATAGCGGTATATTTCTATCCCCTATCGAACTTTACGACAATTAACATAATGTCTAACTCATTGTCCATCTCTCGAGGGTAAAACAAGCCATCTCATACAACTATTGCGCACATAATTGTAGAGAAAATAAAATCCATGCCAATCATTCAATAATTAAAAACATGTTTTAACGTCAAATAAATAAAATTCAAGATTAAGGGTTCATAATGTAAGGTTCATCGCAAATCCTAGCACATGAAAATCTAGCCTAACATAATGGGAAATAAAGAAAAGCAATAATTAAAACCAAGGAAGAACATCACCCAATTGATTCTTGAAGTGAAATCTTGAATCTTGAAGTGGATTGCCTTGTTTTTGCCTCGTTCTTCCTCTCCAAATCCTCCAAAATTGTGTATAATCCACTCCAATTCTGTAAAAGTGGCATCCCATCATTCTGGTCGAGTTTTAGTTTATACAGAACCCTAAAAATCTCCTTTCCATAAAAGTTTTGGCGAAATAAGGAAACTGCTGAATCGGCCTCGAATCTTGTTCTATGCGACCGCATAGTACATTTCTATGCTGTCGTATAGAGTAAAAAAATTTGAGAAAAAGTTCTCGGGAGGCTTCTATGCGACCGCATAGAATTTATACTATGCGACCGCATAGTTATACCATTCTTTCCGCTGGACAGCTTTTAGTATTTTGATCATAACTTTCTCTCCTGATCTTCGATTGAAGTGATTCAAAGTTCATTGTGAAGAAAACTCAAAGATCTACACTTTTGATAGAAATAGGCTTCCTCAAATTCTGATTTTTACTATGTCAAAAATGGATCTCAAGTAGAGATTAAAAATCACGAGCATAGCTTTTTCGCCTGAAAGTTGAAACTTGATAATACTTCGATCATATTTCACCTCTTGACTCCTTTCCTCATCTGATTAACCTCTAACACTCTTGAATATTCATTCCATTTCTCGTCTCATTTATGGATTATTTGCAACTTGGTCCCCGAACTATCACTTTGCTCCATTTTAGTCCTTTTTCGACTCTTTTCTTCTGAATTTCACCATGTTCATCGGTGTTCCCTACAATTCACAAATATAACAAGATTAAGTCACAATTCAATCATTTTGCTTATTATTAAGTCATGCTTGTGACCTAAATAAGTGTGCAAAAACACACTTATCACTTGTCAGTAAAATGAGCAGTTTGAACTTGTTTATCTCCTTGGCCTTGTAAAGTTTCTTGATTTTGTTTATCCTGTAGTATGTTTTGATATGCCTAAAATTTTTACAGAACCTACATTGCTTCTTGCTTTTGAGCCAACAATCCTCCAAGTGATTTGTCTTGTTGTAAATTTGTACGGTGGATATTTTCCTCTTCTGTCAACTTCTTTTGTGGTAGCCTCAACACCTTTACCGTTGTCATCTTTTCCAGCGGGTTGGTTCCTTAAAAATTGGTTTGTTGCAAGAAATATATTTGGTTGATACCTCACTTTGAAAACTTCTTCAATAGACTCCTCACTTTTTTTATTAGTTCTTTGTTCATATGCTTGTAGAGACCCAATAACTTCAGTCACTGTCAATTTGCTAAGGTCCTTTGATTATTCAATAGCTGAAACTTTTTATTCAAACTTTTCATGTAAACTAATCAAGATCTTTTCAATAATTCTTTGATTAGAATTTTTATCTCCATGAAGTTTCATCTGATTCAGAACTTCTATAAGTTTTGAAGAGTACTCCTTAATAGAATTTGCTTCGGTCATCGTCAACATTTGCAGCTATAGTTCTAACTCTTTCTATACCTTAAAATTGCTCTGATGACAAATCCTATGCCTCTTTTTGCTGTGGTTGTAGCAACAATTCTCGGAAAAATACTCTCAGATATAGCATAATGGATGAAAGAAAGAGTTTTATAGTTTTTAGTGAATTCTTTCTTTTTGCTGTTTGATTCATGTTATAGTTTGATCTTGTGCCTCTTTTGCAAGCTCAAAATCTTTTTCTACTGTTTTCCATAGATCATAAGCCATCGAGAAATCTTTTATCTTTACTGCTCAAAAATCATAACCTTCTTCAGGGAAAAGAGGAGGTGCAGGCAAAGAAACACTTCTTGTTGCCAAGAAAAATATTTTCTCAAGCTCTTAAGATCATAAAAGCTCTATAACCATGTGAGTTTATGAATGGAGAAGAGTTCTTTTGTAGATACTATTGGAAAGAAAGTGTAGAGAGATATATATTTCATAAAAAAGTTTTTCTTTATACATACGTACGCACTTGATTAGTTTTTCAACCTTTCTTCCTACTACATGATACTTCACATTTTTAACACCATATATTTTTCAAAAAGTACATACAACTTTTGCTTAAACTAAGTTAAAAACATACATTACAAAAGGTCATTGCATCAGTAAAAGTCACTACACTCTATAGCAAAATGTCATTGCATCAACAGATTTTTATTTAGAATCCTTTAATAGCTTGAGTATTTTTCTTGATAAATCTAATAATTCACGTGTCTCAACAATCGAAACTGCTGCTTCCACGAATGAAATGATGATGATGAAGTATCTGAAGTTTTTGGGAAAAACGCTACTACTTTCTCATTAAAATTGGAGAATCTTTTTGATAGAGCTCTTGAGCTTGAATCTCTTGCCGCATCTGCCAAAAACTATGGATTCCGGGCTTCTCAAGGGAAAACAGTGGAAGAACAAGCCAAGGATCTAGAAAAGAGAGAGAGGCCTTGTATCTCCAATGCTGAAAGAAGAGAGCGATCAACAAGATAGTATTGAAGCTGCTCCCATTGACCATGAAAAAGAAGAGGCGGAAGAAAATTGAGGCATTGCAAGTCACCTTGATAAAATTGTTAAAAATTTAGAGCCAAACGGTGCCAAAATTAACCGTGATCAGAGAGGTTGACTGAAGAAGATAAATGAGAAGTATGCAGATCAAGATGAGGAGGAGCGAAGCATCTGAATTGCTTTGTGGGCTATAAGTATTGTTAAGTGATAATTGTTAAAATCCATATCCTCATAGGGTTGTTTTGGCTACTATGTTTGAATTGTATTATTGTAAGATTCTATTAAATACAAATATAACTTGAACTTATTTACTTTGACCCAAAAAAAAGTCTGAAAGACGAGCGATAAAAAAGTTTAATATGCATATAGATATAAGTGATGTTAGAAAGCTCCTTGTCTCCCTATGAATTAAGGTTCTGGTTGTACCAAAAGATAGAGAGAACATGTTCATCAACAACTTGCATAGATACTTGACAAGTAATCTTATTATTGGTGCCTTATAAATTGCTAGTATATTGACCCTACAATATCAACCCTAAATCTTCTTCACCATACTTAACCTCCGAAGTTTCCAAATTAGCAACGATTTCCATAAAAATAGATGGGTGATCTTCATGTGATGTACCTTCGGTCATCTGATGAGAATACAATCACCACTTCAAGTGCAATTTCCTGATCAGACATTTCATCATGCATAGCTACTAATTTCAACCATTATGCAGCGTGTTTTCTCCTTTAAAACGTCCTAAAGAATATTATTCGAAAGATGAAAATGTATCCATGATAGTGCATTTCGATCCTTACGTTGTCTCACCTTGATAGTCCAAGTTGAACGATTTTGTCAATTTTCAACAACGCATCATCTAAATTCATCTGAAAAGCAATGCTATCATCTTTACCTGTTAAAGCGAAAATTTTGTATTGCAATCTATTAGCAGAATATCGTACTTCATAATTGTCATAAAAAAAAAAAAAACCTCGAACTGAGTTGAATGGATCTCGCTCTGATGCCACTTGTTAGGTAAATAAAGGAGTGTGAATAATATGGCAATATGAAAATCAAACAAGAAAACAAGATTTATGCATTAAAATTATACCACGGCCAGAAGAGGAGAGTTTTATTAGTATCAATAATGGAGGATTACAAATTATTGTATACAATGTAAGCTTTTTCTTTCCTAGAGGTTTACTCTTCATATATATAGTGCAAATTGGACTCCTTCAAGTTTCTCCAAGTCCAAAACAATGAGTGAATTACCCAAATAGTTATTGAACTTTGCAAAATGTTTCCACGGGGTCACTGAACTTTAAAAATCACCAAATTCATTACTGAACTTTGCAAAATGTTTTCACTGGATTACTGAACTTTAAAAATCATTCCATTCATCACTAAACTTTGTAAAAGATTTTCACGGAGTCACTAAACCTTTGTTGGGAAACCTTTTGCAAAGTCAGTAATGAATTCGGTGATTTTTAAAGTTTAGTAATCTCGTGAAAATCTTTACAAAGTTCAACGATGAGTTGAACGATTTTTCCCTGCGAAAACCTTTTACAAAGTTCAGTGACCATTTGTGTAATTCGCTCCCAAAACAACTTCCAAACCCCCAACAATACTCTCAAATTGAATTCCAACTCGAATTCACAAATAGACTTCAACTAGAATTCTCAACTAGTCTTTCAAATAGAATTCGGGTCACATCCTAATTCTATCAAGTTTTGTAGATAGCCTATGTTGCCAAGCTTGAGCCCCAAACAGAATATGGATCGCTATCTCAAAACAAGACTACATATATAGTGTCGATGCAGCTAAATCTAGCCAAAAATTGTAGAAATTTTCGTAATCTAACTTGTGACAAGTTCTTGTTGATTAACCATTCTTGTGGTACTGATTTTGTCAGGAGTAGTATTTTCTATAATCTCATTGCCAGAAGCACTCGATTGCATTAAGCATTCCAGTGCTACTAATTTTAACAGAAGACGAACATGAAATACAGACATGAAAGGAAAATTAATAATGTGGGATCAAGATGTTTATGACAAGACTGAGGCTGTAATCTACGGAGCTCAAAGGCTAAAAACCATTTGATTACAATCCTAGTAAGATAAACAATGAAAGCAGGAGCAACTTCTTGAATCATTCTGTAGCTGGGGGGATATCACTTAAATCTAAACCTTCTGCAGGCAAGTCTGAAGTCAGAGGCCCCAAGATCCCATCAGAGTTGAGGGTCAATCCACTCTGCAATAGGAGGGTAGAATAAGATCGGTTTCATAAAGGAACATTAACTAAACAACACACTCTTGTATGCCATTCAAATTAGACTGGTTTAATTTGAATTCATTTTCATAGTAATAGACAAATCCTTATAGTGTCTTTTGTGTTCTGAACAGAAACAACGTTCCAACATATTGATGCTGTGGTACTTCTATAGTCTTGGCTTCCTTCTTAAAAGGAGGATTAGTCCAAATCCATTATTTGTTTTATCTCTTTATTCCTTTAACAACATCAACATCTCATAAGTCATAATGCATGCCCATTTGCATTTTTTGGCAACTCGTGTGTGGACATCAGTTGGAAAGTTCATCAAATGAAAATACCCACTGACACAGGAAAAATGAAAATCCCTACGACTTATGTTGTATTTCTTACCTTTTCCATAAAAATTCAGTGTTTTTAAGGTTAGAAAAAAAAAGAATTTCTAGCAGCTAACGTGGTAAAAAACTCCATGTACTAACTCGCAACCATTTTTCTGGTTTGACTCTCTTACTTTCCTTATCCTTCATTCTGAAGACTGCTGGACTAAGGAAATCTCGAAACACACACACACACACACACACACACAACAAAAAGAAAAAGGAAAAAGAAACTGAAAATTTACCTCGGGTTGGAATCTGAGCATGTCAGCACGAGCCATGGCTTCTGCTTGAGCAATTCTTTGCCTGAATGTCTGAGCCATCTCTTCTGCCTGTCAGGACACATTCAGCCAATTTCATGAATTCACAGTAATATGCAGAGCAAAGCTACAAATCTATTAAGACTGCAAGAAAGTAAGAATTCGTCACCATCATCAAGCTTATTCAATAGCAAGACGAGGGCTGCATTAAGATCCCCATTCTTTGAGATAGAACTAGAACCAAAGCTCAATTAATCTGAGCAGAGAGTATATAACAACAACAAAATGATAATTGATAAGATAAGAATTTTTACCTTCTCAAAGACAAGCTTGGGATTACGAATCATGTCACCAGGAGTGGGCTCTAACTTCTTAGTAGAAAGGCTCACTCGGCCCCTTTCACGATCATGGCTTAGTATCATGACCTACAGAAAGATTTAGTATATAAAGATTAAATTTTTGGAGTGTTAAAATGTTTAGCCAGTAGTGTAAAGAGTCACCTTCAAAGTGTCACCAGGCTGAAGAACAGTAGCAATATCTGAGACGCGATCGTGGCTGATCTGGCTCACATGCAAAAGTCCATTGATTCCACCAATGTCGATGAAGGCGCCATAAGGTTTCAAGCTCTGAACAGTACCAACTACAACTGACCCAATTCCTAGCTGTGCCTGACTATCAGCCATGGCCTTGCGGTTACTGAGGACAAGCCTAGATTGTTCTTCGTCAACCTCGACAAATTTAAGGGGCAGCGCTACATTTAGAAGCTCCTCTGCCGTTGATTTCTGATAAACGTTCAAGAGAACTCTTAATAAGCTATTCATAGTATGAGAGGCATCAAGAATAAGTGAACCTAAATAATTTAGAGTGACCTGACAAGGAAAATATGACATCAGAAAGGGAGAAAAGACCATAAATTTTGAATTTCTATTGCATCAAAATAGTTCTCTTCATCTTCACTACTTTTTATCTTTGAATTACATTCTGTTCACTCCTTGCAAAATAGATTCAATGTTTAAAACCACATGACACTCCGTCACTGAAGGATCCACACATTCTTAAGAGAGTGTTTTAGAAACTTTGACATCTATTGAGAACAAGCATGCTGCCACTATTGTATCATGCATTCACCCTGAAATTCGTATAAGTACAATCAACACATGAACAAATAGCCCAGGGGAAAACTTTTTCTGCAGCAACTTTGGGAAAGAATAATTTATGACAAATTAATTAGTCTGTGTGAAAGTTTAGATTTATAACGGCCACATTTGCAGGAGGAATCGATTGCAACATGGCACATTTCACAACTGCAAGTAATTTATAATGCACTTCCATTGGGAGAAAGAGAACAAGAGAGAAGATAGCTTCATATAAAGATTCATGGGCAAGCTAAACGAAGAACTAACTGTTGATATTTGTGAAAAGGGAACAAATCCACGAAGTCCCTCCACCACTGCCACCACTCCACCTTTATTTGCGCCAGCAACCTGCATCCAAATCCAAAGAAATTTGGGTTAGTATTCAAAATACAAAAATGTTTAAGTAGAAATGAGTATTTAGGCACATTAGATTATAACTGCAGGGCATTCTCAGCGTATGCTATCCTGANAGTGCCAAATCACTGAATTCATCCACACTACAAAAGAAGCTTGCAGAGAAAAATCCTTCCTTCCCTGCAGACTTTTGCATCTGAACTTGTCGTCATTTTTCATCCCCAATAACAATATAAAAAATCTTGTTTGTACTATCCATGGATAAGCAACTTATACGAAAGAACCCACACCAAATAATATAATGTTGTTGTTGACAAAAATTGCTGAAGAATGGAACTCAAGAAGGAAAAAAAACTGAAAGATGATTGTTGTTTCATTTGTGAAAACAGTAGTCACAGATGGTCCATATATTACCCAGCCTCGTGTATTTCAAGAAACAAGGAGGCACATTTCACTTAATTTCGGCCCTCGGCTTCAACCAATATGCCCAACAATACGATCATCTAATAATTTCATAGGCAAATCGAATGCATATTGGAATCATCAAAAGAACATGTCTTCTGTGGAATTTAATTTTAGCCAACATCGAACATATACATAATAAGCACCTAGCCAATTCAAACATCGGAAATTCTAATCCAATTTAAATGACAACTTTTATCAAATTCACCGATCTTTTCGAGATTTTCACAAATTCCTCTTTAGAGCCCAACTTTTACCTGGCCAAAATCTCAGCGAGAAAAAGAATAAGCACAAGCATGTATCACACTTTAGGGCTCAAATTTATGTATCAAAATTTCGGGCTCAAATTCACGCATAAAACTCGCAGTTCAGCTCAACTTGTGAACTACAGCACTCCGCTTTTTTAAGCACAGAGAAGATTAATTTATAACAAAAAGTAAAATAAAACAAAGCATCTAGATGGCATCCTCTCGGTTTGACTTGACTCTTCCCAGCAACTCATTTATAGAAAGCTACAACATTCATGTGTATGATTATACATCTTTCCGATCTCTAAATAAACATAACTAAAATTTATCCTTGGTTCCAAATTCACAAAATGATACATAATTCCATCCCAATCCATCAGCCAAAACCACAAGAAAGGCTCATGTATCAAGTAATTAAAAGCCACACATTTCTCATGATGGTTTCATATCAGAGAAGAAGTCAATCGTCTATTCTTTTGAGCTGTTTTGCTAAAGTAAAATTTCGAAGCGCTCCTAAGCTTACCCAAACTTGAAACAATTCAAACTTGATGTAGAAAAACCAAAAACAGAAAAATTTCAAGATTAGACACAGCCATAACCCATCTAAAGTACATACAATGATCAGAAAAAATCTTATTCGAGCAAAACCAATCAAAGACAAACTTGTTTATGCACACCATTATAATATATATACAGGAACAAACTATACACACGAAATATACTTAAAGCTCATTAATTTATCCCTTCAAAAGATTCATTTTTTATAATATTCTCTCATAATTCATTCAAATACCTGTAGGTATATAATTTGAAAAATATAAAATTCTCACCCGGGTTCCTATTTCAGAGTTGAAGTCATACTTCTCAAGAGCGGAATGGAAGTCTTCAATGGTAAATGCAACACCTTCCATGGGGGCCGTTTGACACCTCTCATAGGCCTCCTCGAACATATCTTTGAGCTTCGCTCTCTCCCTCGTCTGTGCATTTGTGATGGGCACTGCAGCAGCTGACACCGCAATTCTCTTTCTTGGCAGCACTGTGCAGTGACGATTCTTGGAAGTTTTTTTGGGGAGCGTAGTTGAGATTGGCGGGCTTTTTAACCCACCAAATTGCTGTGCAAAAGATGACATCTTTCAATCAATATTCACAAAAACACTATTTGAGAGTAGAGTAGCGGAGAGATGTGTGCTTTCAAGATTGGATTTTCGGAGAGATAAGATGAGGGGAGTGAAAGAGGAAGAAAGGTGGGCCCCATTTTAAAACTTGGGCTGGGCTTACTGAGAAATGGGCCTAAATAATTAATTTGAAAGGAAATGAAGTGGAAATTACACAAAATCCTAAGTTAAAAATCCACATTTCTAAAAGCAGGCTAATGTTTTAACATTTCGAAAATCAGAATTCTTTCAATCTATTAATATTCCAAACCCTAATTTGATTCGAATTTCATTTTCTCTCTCTTCGTGCACTTGTCTTCTCTCTCAAAATCACAGGCGACGGAGGATGGAAGAGCTGCTTCTCTCTCTTCGTTCCCCATGTATTCCCTCTCAAAATCGTCGATGATGGAGGAATTGCTCGGGTCCACGCTGCTGGAATGGAGGCTGTTGAGCGTCATTGCAACGTCACTGACTGATGCTGCTGCGAACGGTGGCGCCGGGACGATGCTGTTAGTCGACGCTGCCATTCGTGGTGGTGTTGCGACTGCCATTGCAGTATCTGTGTGTGCGTGGGTGTGTTGTGTGTGCCGCGACGATAGTTGTTGCAGTTGATTTTTTATTTTTTTATTGTTGGATGTGGTGCATGCGGTGACGGCGTAGTGGATAGTGATGGTGGTTTTGGATCTATTTTGCGGTGATGTCATCAAGATCTGGGATCTGCTGCAGCGACGACGAAATCAGCGGTGATTTGGGAGATGAAATCAGATTGGGCTGTTGTGGCGGCAAGATGGTTGTGGCGGTGGCTGTGGTATGATTTTGGTGATGTTTGGGTGGTGTGGTTGTGATGTTGGCAGCGGTGGTGGAGATGTTGGCGGACCTCGACGGATTTGGTGTTTTATGTGGTGGCAGTCGTCGGGTGGGATGGGACTGAATGCTAGTGACTAATTATTTGGTGGACTGTGATTAATAATTGAATATGTGATCTGAAAATTGTGACTGTGACTAAAAATTGATTAAGGGATCAAAAAATTAATTGCGACCTGAAAATTGTGACCGTGACTTCCGATTGTGACTGACTAAAATTTAATTGTGACAAATTAATCCAATAATTTGTAATGAGTAAATGAGTTGTAATAAAAATTTTGAATTTGTGACCTATAAAATTTTTGAAATTATGATAGAAAAATATTTTGTGACCTATAAAATTTTTGATTTGTGATTGAAAAATAAGTTGCGACCAATAATTTGATAAGACTAAAAATTAATCCGTAACTGATTTATTAGATAACTGTGACAAAAAATTGTGACATAAATATATTTAATTAATAAAATACATATTTAACAAGTTAATTTATAAATAAATTTTAAAAAATCTGATTTTTGAAACTTTAAACCATTTTTCTTAATTTTGAAAAATGGTATACTTATCCTCTTAGGAATGAATTTTTCCCGGAAATTAAACCTAAGTACACGTTTAAAGATCACAATTCTAAAGTCAGGTATTAAATTTATCGATCATAAATTAGGTATCAACAAAACCATAATTGTAGTCTCTCTCAACTCTTTTCTCTCTTTCCTACTCTTGTATTGTCATAATTGGAGCTCTGACAACAAGGCCACGCACAATAATGTTTAGATCGAGGTGGTCACTTATGAGTCTAGGGTTTGGTGTTATTTAGATTGGTGTTCAGATTGCTGTTGCTGCTCAAAACGACCCATCTTGAATCGAAATGGTTGTTTATCGATCTGGGGTTATTCCAATTTATTTATTTATTTTTAATTGTTAGTGTTATGGAAATAGGGGTGGTGGAATGTTGGTGGTGGTTTGTGGGTGATGATGGTGGCGATTGTTCAAGTGGTAATAACTGTAGTGGTTTCTGGCGGTGGTCTTGTTATTGCAGGCAATGGTGTTGGTGTTGGGTTTAGTGGATGTGGGACGATGCGCTTGAAGTGGTGGTTGGAAGTGATTTTTGTGGAGGTTTGGCGCTCGATTTTGTGGTGGTTTTTGTGATGTTTTGGCATTAGTGATTTTGGAGCTGTGTAGGTCCCAACCTGTTGAGTTTCTATAACCAAATATCTTGAATATGTGACCTATTAAAGTGTAGGGGGTCATATGTCAAAGTGTATATATCACAGATTACAGATTTAAGAGATTCGGTCACAGGCCATTGGATAAAGTCACAGATTTAAGAGATTTGTTTACTTGTCATTGGATCAAGTCAAGTCACATGTAAAGGGGCACATGTCAAAGTACATAAATTACAGGGCATGGATTCAAGAGATCTATTTTATAGGCCATTGAATCAAGATGTAGGTTACATGTCAAGTGCACGAGTCACGAGATTTGGTAACAGACCTTTAGCTCAAGTCACTTGTCACAAATTCAAGAGATTTTGTCATAGGCCATTAAATCTGGTCGCATGCCATTGATTTCTCTAATCTTAATTTTCAAATTGGTCACAAATTTAATTAATTGGCAATGAGAATTCAAGTTAGTTGCTCCAATAAGTACTCACCAAGAGCTGTTTTTCAATTTTAAAAAATCATTTTAAATTATACCAGTACTGCTAAGTCCCAATCATCGACTAACTCAATTGAAGCTGAGCAATGATCAGCTCATTGCTAAAGAAGTCGATGATAGCATGGAGGTTGGACGATGTTAATGGCAGGTGGATGCCAATGAGTGGGGTGAGGACAGTTGGCATGAGTTTGGATAGATTAATTTAATATGATAATATTCTTATTTAAGATTAAATTAAATTAAATTAAAACCTACTTTTGCATTTTGAAATTTAATCTGGGAATTGATTTGCAGCCTGTTTGGGCGGAATTTTTTTTACCTCCAAAAACTTGATTTTTTGACAATTATTTTATTATTTCAATTTTAATTTTTGACTTTTTTCTTCGTAAATGGACTCCACTTTTTTTCTAATGATCAAAAAATCAATTCTCATTTTTTTTCCTTTAATTTGATTGGAGAAAATAAAGTTGATTTCATACGGAAAACACACAGGCGCTGCAGAGAAGGGGATGGAGGAAGGCACAGGAATAGTGAAGCACATACTGCTGGGAAAGTTTAAAGATGGCCTATCTGAGGAGCAGGTTGAAGAATACATTAAGGGATATGCTAGCCTCGTCAATCTTGTTCCTTCCATGAAGGCTTTCAGATGGTACTTTCACCAAACCCCAATTTCTATTTTCAGTTTCACTGAGTTTTGATTTTAATCTAATTTCTACCCAGTTCTATCAATATTCTCTTCTGAAATTCTGTTGTTAATTGTAATCTGGCTTGTAAATTCGCTTCTTTTTAATGGGTTAATTTAATGATGTCTTTAAGATCTTTACTTTCCGGATCTGGGGTTTTAACTAGTTATTTATGCTAGATTCTGCAATGCTTATGCTAGATTCTATTTTAATTCTGGGATCTTGGCTAACCACTATCAACATTAACTTTGGGATTTTTTGTATATAACGACCACCATCATGATTCCATACACGTAAGCAAGAAGAAAAGGTTGGAGCTTTATCAACTCATATTAATAGTTCAATCCGAAATTTCAAAACGAAGAATTAGAGCTTATAAACCTAGAGACGAGATGCATATTCAGCAACATGATTAAATTTAAACGGTAAAAGATGAGAACAAATTCTAGTTTGCTTTGGGTTAATGAATGTAGATCTGATAATATCCTGGGAGGGCTTTGTTTGATTAATTATCACAGACGAGAGCAATACATTCCTCCATTAATATAGTGTCTATGTTCATCTTTTCTTCCTTTTGCAAATTATTTCTTTGGTGGGTTCTTCCATTCTTAGTAATGTGGTCCATTATGGTGATTCAGTGTTGGTGGTTTTTGCATGCTGAACCTTTGGCGGTTTGCCATTGCACAAGATTTGCATGCTGAACCTTTGGCAGTTTGCCATTGCACAAGAGTGGAAGGATTTCTTCGTAAGTAAAAAAAGTTGTGCTCATTTAGCAGTTGACTATATGGTACAAAATGCTCGGTTTTTTCATAACATGGGTTTGCCTATTTCTGAAACAGAAGGTAACTGGACATTTTCCTCTAACAAGAGAGGGCATTGTGCTTTTTAACTGTATTATTTTATTGATTGCCCAGAAAACTGGTATATACCCGAGTGGTGGTTGTAATAACAAGAAAAAAAAGGACTTGTGGAATGAATGAATTTCAATCTGTTTTTTTATATTGGAAAGCACACAAGGAAAATGAATACAAAACAATGTTTAGGCTTCTGAGAGGTTCAATTTCCTCCCTCACAACAATCTCTCAATTTTTTGGTGCCCAATAGAATTCCCCCCCAACCCCCCTTTTATTTGATGCCTAAATTAATCCAGAAGCTTCATTAAAAACCCTCACCCCCTTTTGGCTAGCAGCTCTGTTTCTTCCTTTGTCTAGCATATGTGAAGCGAATTGGTGGCTTATCAGAAATTTTGTTGTGGATTTTACTCTTTTTCTCGTTTTGGATATGGCTGTGTCTACCAAGACATTATAGCAAGATTGTGTAACTGGATTCTAGAAGACTGGCCATAGACTCTTGGTTTCATGCTTAATCTAGTGGCAGTAGTGTGGCAATATTTGGTGTTTGTGCTGCTGATCTTGAGATGCTTTTGGTGGTGTCCAGAGCCTTATGGTGCCTGTATATGGTAGTGTTCTGAGAGTGGTACTGGCTGCACGTCGTGGCAGTGGTTTTCCTATGTGGTTGTGCCAGTTTCTATTTTCAATGTCATTAGGTTATGCATAAATTATCATTTATTTTTATTTTTATTTTTATTTTTTGTCTGCAAGTGAATGAGCGATCAACCATTGCAACTTGCAATTATTATATGCAATGAATAATCAATATTGTCAAGGACCTCAAGGTCCAAACTTATAACTCTCATCTGGTTTTGGTTGTTATGATAGGGGTAAGGATGTGAGCATTGAGAACATGCATCAAGGTTTTACTCATGTCTTTGAGTCAACCTTTGAAAGTACAGAAGGCATTGCCGAGTATCTTACTCATCCGGACCACGTTAAATTTGCAAATATGTTACTTCCTCAACTGGAGAAAGTCATTGTTGTTGACTACAAACCCACTGCAGTCCAGCTCTAAATCAATGTGGTCATGACATTGTCTCTAGTTTTTTTGTGTTCCTGTTTCTGAATAAAAGTTTACCCCTGCAATTCCAACCAATTGGGATACTTTCTCATTTAATTGTTGGACCTGTCTTGTAAGCTTGTAGCTCTGTAATGTGTCAGTGATCTGAATCTCTTGATGCTAATTGCGCAGAATTATAGTCCACATTCTTCACCTTGTATAAATCGTCCCCAGAGTTTGAAAACTATAATTTAGCTAAAACAAGAAAAATTCTTAGCTGATGTTCGATTGTCGGCTAAATTTAGTCTATGCAATCACTTGAGTTATTCCTGATGCAATGATGAACTAGTTAAGAGTGTTTGTCTTGCTCTGTGCGGATAATAAGTATGTTTGGCTGGCTTAGATTATGAGTTAATCACTTCCCAAACATGCACAAAAAATAGTAATGGGAATATACAAATTTGCACCTAAATCTCTCAGAATGTAAAACTTGGCTGTGTGTGGGGGGATTAAGACAAAAAGATCAATTTTTAAACGCCATTTGCATCAGTGCCGAGTGAGAATGCAAACACGCATACACAAAAGCACGCAGCAGATGGGGAATAGGGGAAGCCAAAGGAGAAGCAAAGCGCTGGTAAAGTTCAAAGAAGGAACATCTGAAAAGCAAATTGAAGAATACATCAAGGAATATGCTGATCTTGTTCCTCAAAATGCAGGCATTCAGATGGTTCCTCCACAAACCCAATTCTCTCTTTTCAGTTCTCACTAGCTCTAACATTTCCACTTAACAAAAGATAATATTCTACTGGTCAATTTTTCTTTTGTTTTAACAAGTTATTAGTTCTTTTCATTTTGGGTTTTCACCTTCCTCTTTATCTTTTTCTGAGATTCTGGACATATGCATTGCTTTATTCTGCTGTTGTTGCATGCTGGTGGCTGTCTCTCTGTCCCCGTGTTTTTCTCAAAAACCATGACACGGGGACCAGCATTTACTGATCCACACACCAAACCAAGAAAAAGCTTGGAGCTTTGAAAGCCCATATTCAGTCTCATCTGAAATTTCGAACGGAGAATCAGTGTTAAAACCTGGAGATTAGATACATGTTCAGCAACATTGTTAATAAAAGAAAAAAGAAACTAAAAGTTACTTCCCTTCGAGATAATGTATTTGCCTAGAAGTGGAGAAAAAATCTATGCGTGCTACAAAGGCGGGAGAGAGAGATAAAACATATAACGGATCACATCTTGCGAGTGTTTCCTTTGATTAATTGGTTCAGACAAAGGCAATTTATTACTCCAACGCTCTATCATCTACTTCCATCTTTTCTTCCTTTTTGTATAGAATTTTCTTTAGTGGGTTCTTCCATTCTTAGCAATGTTATCCGTTATGTGATTCAGTTTTGTTGGTTTGGCGTGTTGAACCCCGGTGCTATCCAGGATAAGAAACAAAGTCTTTCTTAATTTATATCTTCACTTGATTGAAATTTATGGTAAATTAGGCCATTGTACAAGAATGGAAGGGTTTCTTCATAACAAAATAAAAAGTTGTTTGATCTTAAGTATTTGATAGTAGAATACAAAATGCTGGGTTTTTTCATAAACGGGGTCTACCCCTGCCCTCATGTAACTTGCTCTATTGAAATCACATCACTCTCATAAACGGATGCTTCTTTTGGTCAACAGAAAATGATCCAACCACCTAAATCTTCCATCCCTTAAATTTTCTTCAAATAGGACAACTTTGTTTGTTAGGGTATATTCTCATTTCTCATTTTGTACTCACTTTATGAACAACTTGACATTTAACAACCCATCTGAGCTATAAAGCAGAACTGGTCTAATCGTTGTTCTATTGAACTTGCTTTATAACCATAATGGAATCTTCTTAGCACATAGAATTATGGTAGAAATTCTCCATTTTATCCAACCCGTTCAAATCGTTTTTCATCTTCTTCGAGTCCGGATTCCTTGGTAATAATCAAACCTAAATACGCGAAACAGTCAATTTACTTCATCATTCATTTGTGTATTGTAGACCTTCACAATTATGCTGTTTCATAATTTGTTCCAACAACATAAAGAATAAGCCTTATATCTTATAAATTTGATGTCGCCTTTGTGATTCCATTTTTTGGTCATTCCATTCAGTTTTCTGCTACATTTATTGGAAGATTCATTACAACTGCAAAATCATTAAAGGCCACATTAATTTAATCAACCCCCCCCCCCTCTTCTGTCACATTTTATAAAGATTGCATCGCTCTTGTATACGTGAATTTCTTTAAATTTACACATGACATGTCCCAACAACCTAAATCGTTCTCCTTTAATTTATACTCAATTAGCGTCACCTCCACATGTTGGCACATATAATTATTTTTTATCTTATCCACGTGTACTTATATTTTTTTAATGATCTATAATTAGGAGGAAATTGTTGACCTTAAATTTTGTACCCTAACGTGACCAACAGATGCCAAGGTTTCTCCCGTCTATGCAAGTCTAATTTCTACACAAGTGGACAAATCGTTAGCGACATGTGACTTCCTCTGATGGGGTGGAGTTGGCCGTACGCACCCTGACGATCAAGGCAGTTGGAAAAATACATATGAGTATGGAATGACTTTAGAAGTGATCCTCCAATGTAAAAAAAGGAGTCAACTTTGGATAGTGATAGATAAAACAGTGATAGAGAGATGTTATGCCTTGAGAGTCTAAACTTGCATTACATTTTAAATGGCGCATTGTGTGAGATTTTATAGTAGAATTGGATGTTCACAAACCTTTGGATGAAAGTATACGTTGTAACGACCCAAAATTTATAACGTAATAAATATGAATAGATACCACAAGCTTTCCTTAAATTATATTACCTGACATACAAGACTAAGAAAGAAAATAAATCGCCATTTAATTTTCCAAAATAAATTAGTGTCAAGCCAAAGAATACAACATTTAATATATGTTCCATTTATTCTTTTTATATAATTGATGGAGCAACAATAGATTCTACAAATTTTAAACATACATGCATAGTCTTTAAGAAATTATACAGTACCATATATTAATTCTAACAAATGAACTAAATAAATTTCAGATAGTGGCCATGGAATGAATTTATAATAGTGAAACGTGAACAACAACCACTCTCCATTTATGAATTCAAGTTTTTAAATTGGCTGAAAAGTAAGAAAATAGAATTTACAACAAATAATTTAGATATAGTTGAAAATCACAAAGTACAACTTAAGATTTTACGCGAAATTTGGGAGACGGTGAACTAATACTAGTTGATCAAGTAATTGAACATACTTTTTATCATAGACAAAGAGAAGCAAGAAAGGCACAACAACAAGAGATGGTTAATGCACAAAATAATCCGATTATTCAAATGAATGAAGGGGCAATAGTCGATGAATGAATCATGCTAGTTGGGGACTTCATGACTCCACAAATTATTTAGAGCTAATCTAGCATCGTTTACCCTTCGTTAAGGCCGCCAAACTTTCAGTTGAAGACCAATGTCATCCAATTGTTTCAGAATGGATATTAGTTCTACGATAGGGCCGATGAAAATCCACACACATGTCTCCCGATTTTTGGAGATGTGTCAACACTTTAAATATTTAGGAGTTTCAGATGATGCTATTAAATTGAGATTATTCCCACATACCCTACGGGATAGAGCGTTTGAATGGTTAGACTTACAGCATATTGTCAGTATCACTACTTGGAATGACTTGGCTAAAGATTTTCACACCAAATTCATTTGATGAGGTTTGGAATAGATTCAAGAACATGCTTTGGAAGTTTCCTCATCATGGCATTAGTAAAGGGCTCCAAGTAATATATTTTTATACAGGTTTACTTCCATCATACAAAAGTATGGTAAACCCATCATCCAATGGCTCCTTATCCCCAAAGACAATTGATGAAGTCTAGGAGTTGTTTGAGAGAGCTCCTACTACCATAGCCATGTGGGCTTCTGAGCGAGTTATTTATAAGAAGGCAGCAGGAGTATATGAGGTAGACACTCATACACTGTTATCTGCAAAAATTGATTCTTTAGCTTATAAGGTTGAGAGCATATCACAGTCAGCTAATGCAGTACATGTTAAGTGGCTAAGTTGCGAAGAATGTGGGGACAAATCACATTACGGTAGATTGTCCAATTCTTGCACAAAATATTGAATATGTTGAATATTTACAAGGTGTTCAACACCAGCAAATTAACCCATATTCTGATACATACAACCATGGTTGGAGAAAGCACCACAATTTTTCTTGGAGTAACCAAAATCCCATTGCATCGCATAGTTATCAGTATCACTAGTCTGAGAAGAGTTCCATTGGAAAATATGTTTGACAAATTTATGGAAAAGACAGAACACTACATGTAGGCAAACAACCAATTCATAAGAAGAACTGAGACAATTCTTCAAAATCATAGAGCTACAATTAAGAACCTGGAAACTCAGGTAGGATAGATAGCAATTGCTATATCAAGTAGGGAACCAAGTACCCTACCAAGAAATACTGAGACTAATCCCAAATAACAGATAATGGCAATAAGTACCTTAGAGAATGAAATAATTTAGGATCCATTTTTGAAAGCAATCACAACAAGAAGTGGAGTAAAGTTGCTCGAGACTACAGTAAAAAACCAATTACAATTATGAACAAAGTTCATACAACAGATATGGAGCAAGTTGATGAATCTGAACTATCAATCGAGAACAATTTGAAAGAAAATACAGGCAATCCACAAGCTAACATAGCTGATTCGATCAAAGAATATGTAGATACCAACTGATTTCCATAAAGGTTGAAGAAACATAAACTAGATCAATAGTTTGAGGAGTTTTGAATGTGCTAAAGAAACTCCACATCAATATCCTGTTCATAGATGTGATAAGGTAGATACCAAGATACGCAAAATTTTTGAAGGACATGATACCTAAGAAGAGAAAGTTTTCAAAATTTAAAACTATGGCACTAATAGAGGAGAGCAGTGCAAGATTACAAAATAAAATACCTCCCAAACTTAAAGATCCAGGGAGTTTCACTTTACCTATTTTAATTGGAGGAGCTGGTTATTTCAAAGCTTTATGTGATACAAGGCATATATCGACTTAATGCCTTTATTTGTATACAAAAAATTGGGATTAGGAGAAGCAAAAGAAACATCAATGTTATTACAGCTGGCTAATAGAAGCATCAAATATCTAAGAGGCAAGGTTAGGGATATACTCATCGAAGTTGGTAAAATTGATATTTTTTG